TTATATCTTTATATATATTTGCTTGTTAAATCCTCAAATTATATCTTTATATGTTTGCTTGTTAAATTATCAAATTATATCTTTATATATATTTGCTTGTTAAATTATCAAATTATATCTTTATATATTTGCTTGTTAAATTATCAAATTATATCTTTATATATGTTTGCTTGTTAAATTATCAAATTATATCTTTATAGATATTTGCTTGTTAAATTATTTTTTGTTATTTGTTTCTCGAGCTGTTGTTGCTTGTCACGTTTCTTCGCCTTTTTTACATTGTTTTATATTTATTTTAATGTTTTCTCTATTGTTCTTTGAATTGTGAAATAAAACTTATGTTTCACGGGTATTGTGTAGAAGTTATACTTTATGTTGTATCAGTGTACAAAATTACGCCGCATTTGTTTAAAATTTAGAGTTAAATTTTAATATGAACCCGTTTGTATTCCATTGCTCTTCATTTACTGTTTAATTAGTTCACAAACTCTTAGCTCAGTGGCAAGCGTGGGCTTATAACATTAAAATGAATAGTTCGATCCTTGCGGCCATCACAACTCAAATAGTTCACTGTGCAGGTTAGATCTAAACAAATATGAAAAAACACGTCAGATCATGGCCTAATAGTTAATGTATCGGGGTGAGGATCCAAGGGTCTCGGGTTCGAGACTTGTGTTAACTGAACATGCTTCCTACATGCAGCTGCGGCGAGTTATAAAAGTGGCAATCGATCACGCTATGTGATTACCAGTATCCGCTTGAGAAGGCGGGGAATTCTGACTGGTTACCTTCATTTTGGTCTATAGTTCAAAACTGGGGGCAGCTACTTTTGAACTATAGTGGTTTCTAAACTGGGCGTGTATACCATTGTTTGCGTAAGGTGTCGCTTAGGTGAGCAAACATACCAAGTTCATATTGGTAAGACGTTTGGTGTCTTTGTTAGCAATGGTCTTTGCTTCGTTTTTTTACTTATGTTTTCCTACATTTATGTTCCTGTTTTTATACTTGCTTAATGTTAAGGCTCCATTTGCCACTTCTTTTAAGGTCTTTATCTTCCTATAGTCTACTCTCTCTCTCTAATTTAACTTACAACCACTTTTCTCCTTTTTCTTTCCCTTATTGGTGTTTATCTCTTTATTCCTTATAATAGTTGTTTTAGTTCGTATACCCTGCTTTGAACATTCCAGCACTACAAGGAATTTCGTGGTAAGCTTCTGTGACTTAAATATTGTTTTGTTTCGCCCCAGCCGTGTCGGCAATTCACATTGTTTCCCTACATTTTCCGGATGAGGTACAATCTGGGCAAGAGCTTCAACTTAGGTGCGACTATAATTTAGACGGTGAGAATCTTTACTCTGTCAAGTGGTATCGAGATGACATGGAGTTTTTCCGCTACGTGCCCATGGATAACCCTGTGAAACAATTCTTTTCTTTGGATGGAATTCAGGTTGATGTAAGTAGCACTTTTCTTTGTTTCCACCTTCTAAACACAACTTTTATAACAGTCGGAATTAAAGGCGAATTTCTTTTGAATTTGTCTCTCTTTGCTTTTTTCTCTTCCGTGTAAAAATACTTTTAAACATATTTTATTAGTTAAGTTAGAGAAGCAGTGTAGCACCAGTGAGTTGTTATCAGTTAAAGTAATGCTGTTGTATGGTAAAATGTTACCGTAAAACACTTTAATTTCTTGTTGAAATGGCTACGAAATAATTAATAGTTGATATTAGAATCAAGCCATCAATATATTTTTTTCTAATATGTTTGGATTTTTTAAAATTACTCTAGCTAGAAAATGTGAAGGGGTATTAAGAAGCTAAGTTTATATCTTATCTAGGTAGTAACTTTAGTGTTTTAATGAATGTATGTTTGGTTACTATTTTAATAGTAAATAATAGTAAATTATTTATAGCGGCTCTTTCCTTTTGTACATTTTACTTATTCCATAACACTCATGCATTTTTTTAATTTCGTGTGAATAAGCAGTTAACACTCACAAAACAATCGGACATTTTTAAAGACTTTCAAAGTTAATTTTATTATGAATCGTGTTTTTTGTTATCATAATGCCAGTATTACTGTTCTTTATTCCCGCCAACT